ATAGAGCAAATAAAAGGGCGAATAACCAGTGGTGTCGTGGCGTGAACAATTGTACCCGAAGGTCACGTGAGGTAGCGCCAGGTTCCAGTCATGATGGTCGGAGGACACATACATCACGAGCATGTCCGTGAGGGTGTGATTTAGCCGTTTGGTAAGGCCAATTGTTTGGGGATGGTAAGAAGTGGTCAATTTGTGCTGCATCGAGGAAAGCGCAGAACATCATCGATTACACGGGACAAAAATGCACAGCCGCGATCCGTGAGTAAATGGCGAGGAGCGCCATGGTGTAGGATGACATCGTGGAGCAAAAAATCTGCAACGTCAGTAGCAGTACTGGTGGGGAGCGCTCGAGTTATGGCATACCTAGTCGCGTGGTGTATAGCAATGGCGACCCACTTGTTGCCCGATTTCGACTCGGGAAAAGGACCGAGAAGATCTATACCAACACGGAAGAAAGGTTCGGTTTGGATAGAGATCGGTCGAAGAAGTCCAGCCGGGGGCGCAGTAGGTCGCTTCCTACGTTGGCATTTATCGCAGGAGGACACGTAACGGCGAACGGACCGGGCGAGACCGCGCAAAAAGAAGCGGCGAGATACACCCAGATGACCAGCGGCTTGTTCATCGTGAAGCTCGTGCAGCAGGGTTGAACGCCAATGTTCCGGCACGACAAGAGGGAGCTCAGGGCCGTCTTGCTGGAGGCTACGACGGTACAGCGTGCCATTCAGGAGGACGTACACGCGAAGCGATGCGTCGTTCGGAGCATATTCGAGACGGTCAATAAGTTGTCGCAGAGAAGCATCACGCCGTTGTTCATCACTAATCTGAAGAAACTGGGACACTGACATGACGCTGAGGCTAGGCTCGATGTCTGATTCGTCGGGCTGATCAACAGGGTAGCGGGATAAGCAATCGGCGTCGAGATGGAGACTTCCAGACTTATAAGCAACCGAGTAGGAATACTCTTGCAGGCATCATGCCCAACGGCCAAGTCGTCCAGTGGGGTCCTTCAGAGAAGACAGCCAACACAGCGCGTGATGATCATTGATGACACGGAAAGGCGTTGTTGAACAATAAAAAATTTGCAACGTGCGCGTTACCTGCAAGCCGGATTCTCCTGTCTCTCATTCCTCCTTAGCAGCCATTGGCATGTACATTGAGCACTATCTGACAAAAAAAAGGTTGCTACGTTATACTCGCTGGACATAACCTCCTTGGTTTTAGAAAGGTTTAGCGAGCGTTGGGCCGCAGTGCCATGAATACAGTGAACTAGTATATACGATGAACTCGAGGTGGTTAAAGGTAGGAAGTAGACACGAAGCGCAAGCCGTAAGAAAGTGTGCATGTGCCACCTCTCGTTTAGTCCTTGGAATGTCCACTGGATGGCGGTGCAGATACGGAATATGTGATGACATATGCGAAATTGTGGTACTTGGAGAGTTGAATAGATGGACGAACGGACACACAGACAGATGCATGGACGGACTCACGGGTGGCGGCACCGACGGATGGACGCATGGACGGACGCAGGGACGGATGCATGGACGAACGCAGGAACGGACGCACACATGAACGTGCGGACGCACGAACAGACGCACGCACGTACGGGCGAATGAACGCACGGATGGTCACACAGACAGACGCATGGACGGACGGAAGCAAGAACGAATGGACGGACGGATGCTTCGCCCCACTCTCCATCATTCACTCCGTGAATATGCTGTCATTTTTTTTCTTTTCGTTCTCTATGATATGCATCTAGTTGTAAGAATAAAAATGGCTAGAAAATGTATTTATTTACTATATCAATTTATTTATTTGGTCACACTTACGTCGCCATAAGATTTTCTAGAGACTGATGCACACAGGTGGCCACATAGAACAATTATAGGTGCATAGAAGAATACAAAAGGATACTATAGAGGGAAAAAACACTCCATACATATGAATTTTAGGACTTGCGAAAGGGTGACGTTATGACCATATATTTTGCACATCACTATGCTTTCAGATGATGAACCATTATTATTCAAAGTAATGTTGTGAGCATTCTTCCAGAACAGAAAAAAAAGTCATCCTTAGTTTCAAAGGCGATATAACTTTGGACGCAGTGCAAATGATGTCTTAATTTAAGAAAAGTAATCTTGAAATGAGTAATGTACTAAATGTGCCATATACAGTTAGTCAGTACGCTAGAAAATTTCCATATGCTTCTTCAGCACTTCCACCAGAAAATGGCCAATGTAGGCTAATTCTCGACAAAACGTGGAAAGTCGGAGCACAGGCTGACAAAGCTCCGTAAGCCTCTTGCGAAATATCGCACCGGGAACCTCTGCCGACTCCAATATTTTCGTTACGATCTGGTTCTATGCCTAGAGCACTGTCTATGTGGCCAGTCACAGTAATTTGAATGGCGGCTGTTCGGAACAGGTGGCGCTGGATGACGCACTCATGTTTAGGTGCACATATTATACTCCATATAATGGACGGGAAGTGACCACCACCGTAACTCGATGGTAGAAAATCGGACGCCTTGTTTGAAGGTTCAAGGTATTGAGCCTGTCGGCGGCAAGTGATCTTTTCTTGGTCTTCTCCTTTTTCAGCTTCTCATTCAAGTTACTTCTATATGTTTGCTGTCAATGGTTTTGTTAGCTTTAACACGGTGTCTCACACAGAAAACGAACCATTAAATTTACTCTCTCCTTAAGAATATCCTAGTGTCTTTAATACCTTCAGTTATTCTCACCAAGGTATAAGTATACGCCAGTATATCAATTTAAAAATTTAGGTTGAATGGAACAGCATTTGTTTTAGCAGCGTTTATAAAAACCGAATTCACCTCATCCCAATTCGTAGTTGTTCTACCGCGTCTGGAAATAGTGTACTTAGATGAAACGAGTCGTCGTATTCAAGGACCAAGCTTCGTCGGAACGAGCAGTTTCGTGATTATCCGCTTATTAATTTATTCGTAAAACACAACTGTTGAGTGCGAAGCATTTATTAGCGAAGTGTGGCGACTTTAAGCGTATCTATCTATCTATCTATCTATCTATCTATCTATCTATCTATCTATCTATCTATCTATCTATCTATCTATCTATCTATCTATCTATCTATCTATCTATCTATCTATCTATCTATCTATCTATCTATCTAGCCACCTGCGACGTTTAGCTCCTCCTGGCTCTCTCAACAATGGTATCGATACCAAACTTGGTATGGCATAACGTGCCTGTATGAACAACAAATTTTATTATTCAAAACATGAAAATGATGACATGTATGTCTTGAATATCTTGATTAACCTTTCATGGCCCTGAAGATTTGGCAGTGGTTTCGTTCACATGGCTTGTTGCAAAACTGGTATGGTATGACACGATTGCATGGCGAACACAAGCGACAAACCCTAACATGAAAATCATGACATGCGTGTCATGTAACTTGACTACATGCCACGCACCTGATGCGTTCAGGGCCGTATCGTTAGCGTCACATATACCAAGTTTGATAATACGTTACGTGAAGAAATGACGACAGTATGTGACTTGTGCAAACATGATAATCATGAGATGCTGTGTCATGTTACAACATTACTACATGCCACGCTCATGATGCGCTGGCGGCCGTCTTGCTAGCTTCACATATGCAAAATTTGGTATCACGTGGCGCCAATGGATGACGAAGGCATGTGTCTTGTGCAAACATAATAATCATGAAATACGTGCCATGTGAGAACATGACTACATTCCATTGTCAAGGTGCCAATACATTTCGATGTGACGCGGTGCGCGTGCTTTTTCGTTGCGTCACGCAAGCGTTTCCACGCCAGGCGCCGGTCCTGTCATGTACTCCCAGGCGCGCACTGCGTTGCGTTATCGCATGTGCGTTTCAGTGTGTCCGGCGTCCCTCCGTCACGAAAAGAGGGACACGCATTGTTGTCTGGGTAACGCATCGGCACGAAATGCAGCATGTCGCATTTCGCGCTGGTTGCCGTTGGGCCATGCCGACGGTCACTGGTCACTCCGGTCGCGCCTGGCTTCAGACTATGGAGTGCTCGCGTTTTGCTTACGTATCGTCGGTGTGCCTAGCGTTCGCACGCATCAACGCTGCATTGGAGTGTATTGGGTCCTTCATGATGCGCCCGCGGCCGTTTTGCTAGTCGCACATACCAGATTTGGCGTTACGTGACGTCAATGGATGACACTGGTGCAATCATGATAATCCAGACACGCGTGTCATGTAAGACGATGACAACATACCACGCTCAAAGCGTGCTCACGGGTGTTTCGCTAGCTCCACGTATAGGCACCGCACACTGACCAAAGGGAACTGCGATTCACACTGCCCCATCTCAAAGTTTCTGACATTCACCGTTAGGGGCACGCAGAAAAGAGACGCGTGCTCGCTTCCCCAGTGTATCCCGAACACAATCCGCCGGCAGAGTCAGGGTGCGAGACACGCGTGTCACTTTCCATTTTCACTGATGCCGTCTCAAGGTTTGTTTTTTTATCCGCTAGGTTATGTATTCTGGCGCTGCAGTCAGACTGGAAATCTCGACTGAACGGTGCCTATACTAAATTTGGTATCACGTGACGGGAACAGATAACACAGGTAAACGACACATCCATACGTGATAATCATGACACGGAAGTCATTTAGTAACGTTGCGCTGATTTTAAAGAGACATATGAACCTTTCTCATTAGTGCTTCGCATGTCATTGATTTCCTCTGTACATGGGACTGCCAATGCTTTATGGGCTAACTTGTAACGAATCAAATAAATTTTGCATCTATATGAATTGGCGCATTTCATTCCTTTAAGGGCTTATTTTTACTTGGTGATAACAATCTTGCTCCTTTACTTCTTATTTTAGAGACGAGAAAGTTTTATATTGAGTTTCGAAAATGGTCAGTGTATATTTTTATCTGCCTCCTCCTGGAGGCCCATGCTGTTAGCAATTGCCATATATAGAAAATATAAATAATAGTTGACTTCTCTCACCTCCTTTGGATCGGCATAGTACGGCGGCGGGTGGTCTGTGCAAGGCATGAAATACTCGTAGTAACTGCTGTCTGTCGGTATTGCATAACTTTGGGGGACGTAGTATATTCCTTTATAGCTGAATGAGACGGCAAGTGGAATTGAGAGATTCAGATTATTGACTTCCCGAACAACCGCCATGGCCTCGTTCTGCAATCATACGTGAAAATAGAGATACACTCTGATTGGCTAACATATGCGTAGGTGATTATGCTGTGTGGAAAAATGAAATAAACCAGTGCACTACTGATCGCTATAAGGCATGCTGTCTAGCAACTGCATCCCATCTTCGGAATCAAAACTCTGGAGCACTCACCCTGTGCGAACATTATGCAGGTCTGTGAGTTCATCACGTTTACTTGTTCCTCTCTTTGTTTCTTTTTTTTCTGTTTCTTTCCTTTTTTTCTCTCATCTATTTAGTTACAAATCACGATGCCAACTCACCCAACCCAGTCGGCATTGTAGGCACCGACTACCTTTTCGCTGCCGTTGTCGTAACGTTAGACGAACCCTTCATATTTAGGGGTCAATGCATTGTTGTAACGTGAAACGGGAAGGTACCTCGATATCACACGGTGTTTCGGTAGCCGGAAACGCTGTTCGCCGAGAAGTGCGCTATTGGAAGAGGATGAATTATTGGAAAATAACGTCTACAAATTGGCGAGCACAAATAGTCCAATAGTTGAAACATATATGTGACCGGCACAACTTCATGGGATGCCATCATGTGCGCTCAGAAAATTGGCTGGTTTCGCCACAGAGCCCGTATTTTCGTGCGAACGACCACGCTGTTCTAGAACGTAGTCCATAAGCCTCGATAGAATGTTTCCCAAGCCTAAATTTACAGCAGCAATAGTGTTGTAGGTTCCAGAGACGGCACGTCTGCGAACTACATTTCGAACTAAATTCCTTCAGCCTCGCAATAAAAATACTGGCAAGCGATTTCTACGCGTGGACACCAATGTCTGTTGGCAGCTGCACTATATTGCATGACGAGTGGAGTCCATACACGTAAATATGAAAACTGTTAGACAGTAATAAAATAGAAGAGCTAATTAATGCAAAATTCCTCGTTAATTGCTCACTCTTTCCTCCCATGGTGAAAGTATGCACTCCATCTCGGAGGGATACCTCCAGAAGATTTGGGGCAGTGCAAAAAGAATCACTTGCATACGCTTGAAGGGGGTATCTCAAGAACAAGGAAAGCGTCATAATACTGAACAATGTCGTTTAGATTGTATGGCTGATTTCGCATGTGCTATAGTGTTTTGTTTCTCAATAGCCTCTGGAGCCTTTCGTTCATAAATATCTGCCGGTATACCTCGTCGCTGGGCCTACGAAGCCGACGCCGACGGCGTAGGCTCTGACCAAAAACTAAATTGCTCTGGCGCACGCAGTGCGTTCATCGCAGAAAGACATGGTTTACTTACAAATAACCCTTCAAGCTTTTCAAAAGTAACGTGCATTATCGTGATTGTATGGTAATTTTAGAAATCATTCATATATCCTGATTTATGCATCATTTAAACAAAGCGTGGTACATTTTCAAAAGAAAATAAAACGCTATGGTTTGACTCAAGCTGATCTTAGAAATGAAGTGGATGTACTAAACGGTCAAGTAAATACGTACGAACGGTCAAGTACGTACCTATGTATAGCCAAGCACATACAATGCACTAAAATGTCTAGTACACCACAGTGCCCATTCACCATCATCATCATAAGAAGCAGCAGCAGCCTGACTACGCCCGCAACAGGGCAAAATCGTCTCCCTTTATTCACTAATCAACCCTGTCTTGTGCTTACTGCTACCATGGTATGCCTGCGAACTTTGTATTTGCTTCGGCCCACCTAACTTTCTGTCCTTCGTGAGTTCGGCTTCTCTGGGAATCCCTTTATGACCAGTGGTTATCCTGCCTACGTGCTTCCTGGCCGGCCCATATTTATTGCTTCTTCTTGATGTCAACTATGTTATCCTCAACCCCGGTTTCTTCCCTGGCCCACTCGCTCTTTTCTTGACTCTTAAAGGGGCTTTGGCACAAAATTTCGTGGCCGAGATAGCCTGTGGGGTTCATTCTCAACCACTTTCGTCTATCATCTGCAAAATATCAACAGTGAACATAGCTGGGAATGTATAGTAAAGGCTTCTGAAGTTTGCAAGAGCTGCCGACTCCATCGCGCTATTGACACCCTCGAAGGGCACCCTGAGGTTACCACCTACTTCCATCGAGTTACCGTGCTGCAGTCAACAAAACAAATTATGATGACGCCATAGCCGCCATATTTTTAACCGTGTTTGTTCCCGCAGTCGATACTTTTTGGCGGCTGGTTGCGAGTGCGTGGCCGTGGTGCACACTTACAAAGGTTTGCGTTTGGCGACACTGCAGTCCCATTTCCTATACGAAATTATTTCATGATGCGGATTGTGCGGAAGTGTGTCACAGGTTTGTGTGGTGGCGTGGTCAAGATCTGCACACGCTAGCTGGTGACAGTTGCGCCCAGTTTTTTGAGCTCTCTCAAACCGAATCTGAAACTGATCGATAATGAGGGACCTGTAGTTATTTTCTGTCGCATGCTGTAGCAAAACATTGTGTCATGTCATGACCAACAGGCACCCAGCAACGCATTGCAGCAGAACAACGCGAGGCCAATGCTTTATTGTCGGTGCTCCTTTAAGGTTACACCTATCATATTCTCTTCTATCTCTCGCGGCGCCATCCTCACTGTATTGTGAACCTCTTTTTAAGCCTCCAGGTTTCTGCTCCGTAGGTAAGTACCGGCAAGATGCAGTAGTTATATGCCTTCAACTTCAGGGTTGCTGGCATATTACCATACACGATTTTGGAATGCTTGCCAAGTTTGATCCACCCAATCCTTATTCTTCTAGTTATTTCATTCTAATAGCCCGGCTCATCAGTTACTACTTGTTCTTAGTACACGTATTTCATTACAACTTGTAGCGTCTCTCTACGTATCGCCGTGTGCTGTTGCACGGTAGCTTAGTGTTGTGCATCATAGGTTCAGACCTACTCTTCTGCTTTCTATGTCCAGTTTAGTAATCATGAGCTGCAATTCGTCCCGTGAAATACTCGTCAAGGCAATGTCATCAATTATTGAAGGTTACTAAGACACCTTCTAATTACTATTATCGCTCACTACTCCCAATATAGGGCCCTGAAAACTTTGTGTAAACACGTGGTGAATAGCATTGGAAAAATCTTGTGTACTGCCTTGCACCCTTCTTTATGGGGATTCTTTCGCTTTTTTATGGAGAGCTATGTCAGCTAAAAATCCACTGTAGATTTCTTTCAGTATGTTTATGAAGAGTTTCCAAATGCCCTGATTGAGTTGTGCTTGCATTACTACTGTTGCCTCGACTGAGTCGAACACCTTCTTGTAATCTGTGAAAGGTATGTATAGATTTGGTTGTATTCTGAGCATTTCACTATTACCTAGTTATTAGTATGATAATGGTGTATTTTTGAGTAGCCAGTACGAAATCTTGCTTGGTACTTTGGTCAATTGAACTGTAATGTCGCCCTCAATTTAGTAGATAATATAGTAGATAATACGTAAGCTGATCGGCCTGTAAATTTTCAAGTCATTGACGTCTCCTTTCTTATGAATTAAAATGATTTTCGTGTTTTTCGGGGATTCCGGTACCCTTTTTGCCAAGCGCCACTTGGTATAGAAGGTGGCGTAGTTTTCTCAAACGATTTCTCCGCCATCTTTCATCAGGTCCAATGTTACCTTATTCTCACCAGCGTATTTGCCGCGCTGCATTTTTTCTAGGCATTTCCTTACTTTCCCTGTCGTCACTGGTAGGAAGTCAAATTCCTCTGGGCTGATTGTCGCTTCTTACGACATTACCCTGGTTGTTTCGGCCTTTGTACAGCTCTCGTTAGAAATCTTGCGCCACTTTAACTACCGTATCAAATTTGGTTATTAGATTGCTTTGCTTGTTTCTGAATGCATACATCTGAATTTTGACTATGCACAAGTTTTCTTTGGCAGCTCTTATACCGGCGTCACTTGGACACTTAATCGCGATAAAGGTGAGCCGGATCGGTTTTCTTCATCGCGATCAACTTTATGACCACTGCTAAACGGCACAAGCTAATCCTGTTCGAGCTTGGGTCAGACGAAATGCAAGAGGTGGTGCTTGCATTTCGCTAAGCATGTCACTGAGAAACCTTGGCAACCAAGATTGCTATAGAGCCCTTTATCATCAATGTTTTATTCGTGTGAGAACCGCCCAAACGTCAAAAACTTTCCGTGCCACAACAAAATTAGTTTCATAAATGCATTATTCAATAGAAAATTTCTTGCCCTTTCCTGTATAACCGTGCGAGAGTCCTAATATGTTTTTGCTATTTCTGATGGCTCCCACTTGTAGCCGTTTAGTCGCAGCGAATCGTCAACCTCGTTGTACGCGCCAGAGTTTCACTTCTCAAGTCTTCCAGTCACTCCCGCCAGCGGTCAATTACTGTAAAGATGTCTTTATTCGACCACGAAGTGCGCATACGATGCGACGTAGTCGAAAGGCTCGTGACACTCACAATCAGTTTGCTTCGAGGTGCTCCGACTGCTCCGATGGTGCGAGAGTTAAGCCAAGCGCGGAAGGCAATGGTCATCTGCTTATCGTCTGCTTCTCCCATAATTACATGCGGTCAATACGAATCCTAAAATATGTGACATTTCAGGCATAGTTCAAATTTAAAGAGTTTAGAATTGACTTTTTATTATCATCTTGTTGATTAATTGTTTCTTTATTGAACTAAGCTCAATTTTTCTATTTATTGCACTTTCAACAAGAGTGGCCAGGGGATGCAGATGACAGTGGAACCTCAATCTCCCTGCCAGATTGCGATGCGCGGATCGCGATAGTCTTGATCCTGATCGCACCTAATCGAGATTCAAAGTTACAGTGGAGCAGCACCTAATTCCGATCGTTCTCAATCCGGATCGACATTGATCGCGATAAAAAATGCCCATGTGACACCGGTATTAGGCTTCTGCCTCTTTTGCAGCCTGCTCAATTCAGAAGTCTTTATCTGCCAACCTTGGCTTTTATGTAGAATTGAATATGCGTTGTAGTTTTCCGAAAAGGAGCGAAAATATGAGAAAATACAAGTTTGAAGAGGTGAAAAATTCATGAAGCAAAGTATGAGGAGAGCGGCGTTTCCATAGGCAAGCTTGTCTTGCCCAAGGCTGGGAGCTCCAGAAGAATAAGTCTGCTTGAGCTGATGTTTATTCTAGCAATACCCCATGTTCACAAATATTTCCCTGACAGGTTTTTTTTTCTGTTATGTCATAATGAATGTATCCAGTCTACACTTTAGTTAGTGATGCCAGTGAATACGTACGAATGTGTGTCCATAAGTGTAATCTTTGCCACGGGTGAGGTTCGAAGGTAGACTGTCCACGACCACCGGGAATATTCGACAATCTTTGAACTTCCTCACTGGGTAGCTAAGGTGTGCAATGGCGACGAACATTGATGGAGTGAACACGGTTCTGAAAACAAGCAATCAATAGAGCGACATTCATTGGCTGAACGCAAACTACGTTCTAGATTTATCCACTTAAATCTAGAGTGCGCGCCTTCGGTGGGCATACATACTCACCGGTAAAGCCTGGTGTACTTATACAGGCAAATATTGCTATAGCGAAGTAGCACCCTAATTAGTTCTACTATCAGACAATTTAGACGTGTAGCCTGTCCAAGAATTTAATGAGGTGACTTCACGGTGCGACACATAATTGTTCCTTATAAGTGAATACATGAACGTCGTCTTTGCCTTGATATAATTTACTGATATGGAAGAAAGAAAAGTTTGGAAAGAGTATTGTGCAACACAATGAAATAGAAAGTGACGAAAGTTGTATATGTGACGGAACATGTAATTCCCTTGGGGGTTTCCGTTATTCCGTTAGGTGATGGGCTCCTGAGTTCGTTTGCGTGCTTTTCATAAGTGAGACCGGAGTGACTCTGTCAATTTTATTCCTGCAGCCTTTACTAGAATTATCAATATTCGCAGAAGCAATAAGTGGATGAGAAAATTAGCTGCCATCTTCGGAAATGAATAAATGTTGCGACATGATCAGGTAAACAAATGCCATATATTCTTTCCTCATCTCCGCTAAAGAGAGCTCAAGTGGTTTCTAGCCCAAAGATACAATTTTAATACGCGTGGATTAAGCTGAAGTAAAGCTGCTCAGCGGCACGTGCGTGTCAAATATTCACTCTCGTAATTCTTAACGGCCTTCGGTAAAAGAGGTTTGGTTTGTCAAAATCACACACTCCAGCGTACTTACTCCTGGACCATTATCAACCACATACCATAGAATACTTGCTGTAAAGTGCTAAGATATGCAAATCATATTGTCGAGGACTCACTTCATCAATTTCAGGATCGGGTAGCCGGCTGGATCATCAATAGACATGCCAACAACATAGAATAACGTCCTCGTGCTTGTAAATCTCGGCTTCAGGTAGAGATACAGCGCCTGGAAACAAGAAATATGGTGAGCAAAACTTGTTCTCGTTTCGCCAGTCGTACTGACTTACAGTAACTTATGAATGACGTCTCCGCTAGCTTACACTTTGCAAATGTTAGAAGAAAAACACGATGGTGGAACTGGCGCGTGCAACGACCAGCCCGTGACTAGCGCTTGACTGTTTAGGGCTAATAAGAGCGAAGTTGAACCTTAATACTTGTGAGACTACTCAATATATGTAACATTGTGTGTGGCTGAAACCAGTCATCTGACAAATTATCTTGTCTTCAAGGCAGCGTGTGCTTCTCCAAAAAACCAGATGGCATGCCATCCTATCTTTAACGCAGCAAAAAGTTACATCTCGTAACAGGTTGTCTGAGGAAGATGCCACTATTGCTGCATTAGAGAAGACGAATTGTCGAAAGGTAGGCTTCAGTAAACGCCGTATTCAATATTTTTTACCTTGGCCTCAAGCTTCAATCTTTCTCTTATTCGGTATCTCACATGAGTGAAATGGCACCATGGCATTTTCATGGTGGGAATGGTATTAAAAAAAACATTCTTCGTGGTGTGTTATCCGAAGAGAGGAATAAAGAGCGAGCTTGAGGAAACTGGCATGAAGTTGAACGTGACAATAAAATGGAGGTCACAGAAAACGTTCAATTATTAGCAGTTCTCATTTAGCCAGAGCTCCGAGTGTTCATAGAGTCATAAAGTGTGATGAAAAATAAGTCTTATGAAGGAGAAGCACGGAGTTCTTTGTTGTTCTATTAAGGGAGGTGAAGTGGGACATTGAGGTCAACAACTAGGTTGTAGGTGATGTGGAAGATAAATCGCAGAACCATGTAATAGGTTTATTGAAAGGCTTGGAGAAACGCCCAAATGTCAAAAACTTTCCGTGCACAACAAAATTAGTTCCATAAGCATATCATAGAAATTCTGCCTCGTGTTAACGTGCGAGAGTCCTAATATTTTTTGTATTTTGATGGCTCCATGTAGACGTTTAGTCGCAGCGAATCGTCAACCTCGTGTACGCCCAGAGTTTCATTCTCAAGTCTTCCAGTCACTCCCGCCAGCGGTCAATTACTGTAAAGATGTCTTTATTCGACCACGAAGTGCGCATACGATGCGACGTAGTCGAAAGGCTCGTGACACTCACAATCAGTTTGCTTCGAGGTGCTCCGACTGCTCCGATGGTGCGAGAGTTAAGCCAAGCGCGGAAGGCAATGGTCATCTGCTTATCGTCTGCTTCTCCCATAATTACATGCGGTCAATACGAATCCTAAAATATGTGACATTTCAGGCATAGTTCAAATTTAAAGAGTTTAGAATTGACTTTTTTATTATCATCTTGTTGACTAATTGTTTCTTTATTGAACTAAGCTCAATTTTTTTATTTATTGCACTTTCAACAAGAGTGGCCAGGGGATGCAGATGACAGTGGAACCTCAATCTCCCTGCCAGATTGCGATGCGCGGATCGCGATAGTCTTGATCCTGATCGCACCTAATCGAGATTCAAAGTTACAGTGGAGCAGCACCTAATTCCGATCGTTCTCAATCCGGATCGACATTGATCGCGATAAAAAATGCCCATGTGACACCGGTATTAGGCTTCTGCCTCTTTTGCAGCCTGCTCAATTCAGAAGTCTTTATCTGCCAACCTTGGCTTTTATGTAGAATTGAATATGCGTTGTAGTTTTCCGAAAAGGAGCGAAAATATGAGAAAATACAAGTTTGAAGAGGTGAAAAATTCATGAAGCAAAGTATGAGGAGAGCGTGCGTTTCCATAGGCAAGCTTGTCTTGCCCAAGGCTGGGAGCTCCAGAAGAATAAGTCTGCTTGAGCTGATGTTTATTCTAGCAATACCCCATGTTCACAAATATTTCCCTGACAGGTTTTTTTTTCTGTTATGTCATAATGAATGTATCCAGTCTACACTTTAGTTAGTGATGCCAGTGAATACGTACGAATGTGTGTCCATAAGTGTAATCTTTGCCACGGGTGAGGTTCGAAGGTAGACTGTCCACGACCACCGGGAATATTCGACAATCTTTGAACTTCCTCACTGGGTAGCTAAGGTGTGCAATGGCGACGAACATTGATGGAGTGAACACGGTTCTGAAAACAAGCAATCAATACAGCGACATTGATTGGCTGAACGCAAACTACGTTCTAGATTTATCCACTTAAATCTAGAGTGCGCGCCTTCGGTGGGCATACATACTCACCGGTAAAGCCTGGTGTACTTATACAGGCAAATATTGCTATAGCGAAGTAGCACCCTAATTAGTTCTACTATCAGACAATTTAGACGTGTAGCCTGTCCAAGAATTTAATGAGGTGACTTCACGGTGCGACACATAATTGTTCCTTATAAGTGAATACATGAACGTCGTCTTTGCCTTGATATAATTTACTGATATGGAAGAAAGAAAAGTTTGGAAAGAGTATTGTGCAACACAATGAAATAGAAAGTGACGAAAGTTGTATATGTGACGGAACATGTAATTCCCATGGGGGTTTCCGTTATTCCGTTAGGTGATGGGCTCCTGAGTTCGTTTGCGTGCTTTTCATAAGTGAGACCGGAGTGACTCTGTCAATTTTATTCCTGCAGCCTTTACTAGAATTATCAATATTCGCAGAAGCAATAAGTGGATGAGAAAATTAGCTGCCATCTTCGGAAATGAATAAATGTTGCGACATGATCAGGTAAACAAATGCCATATATTCTTTCCTCATCTCCGCTAAAGAGAGCTCAAGTGGTTTCTAGCCCAAAGATACAATTTTAATACGCGTGGATTAAGCTGAAGTAAAGCTGCTCAGCGGCACGTGCGTGTCAAATATTCACTCTCGTAATTCTTAACGGCCTTCGGTAAAAGAGGTTTGGTTTGTCAAAATCACACACTCCAGCGTACTTACTCCTGGACCATTATCAACCACATACCATAGAATACTTGCTGTAAAGTGCTAAGATATGCAAATCATATTGTCGAGGACTCACTTCATCAATTTCAGGATCGGGTAGCCGGCTGGATCATCAATAGACATGCCAACAACATAGAATAACGTCCTCGTGCTTGTAAATCTCGGCTTCAGGTAGAGATACAGCGCCTGGAAACAAGAAATATGGTGAGCAAAACTTGTTCTCGTTTCGCCAGTCGTACTGACTTACAGTAACTTATGAATGACGTCTCCGCTAGCTTACACTTTGCAAATGTTAGAAGAAAAACACGATGGTGGAACTGGCGCGTGCAACGACCAGCCCGTGACTAGCGCTTGACTGTTTAGGGCTAATAAGAGCGAAGTTGAACCTTAATACTTGTGAGACTACTCAATATATGTAACATTGTGTGTGGCTGAAACCAGTCATCTGACAAATTATCTTGTCTTCAAGGCAGCGTGTGCTTCTCCAAAAAACCAGATGGCATGCCATCCTATCTTTAACGCAGCAAAAAGTTACATCTCGTAACAGGTTGTCTGAGGAAGATGCCACTATTGCTGCATTAGAGAAGACGAATTGTCGAAAGGTAGGCTTCAGTAAACGCCGTATTCAATATTTTTTACCTTGGCCTCAAGCTTCAATCTTTCTCTTATTCGGTATCTCACATGAGTGAAATGGCACCATGGCATTTTCATGGTGGGAATGGTATTAAAAAAACATTCTTCGTGGTGTGTTATCCGAAGAGAGGAATAAAGAGCGAGCTTGAGGAAACTGGCATGAAGTTGAACGTGACAATAAAATGGAGGTCACAGAAAACGTTCAATTATTAGCAGTTCTCATTTAGCCAGAGCTCCGAGTGTTCATAGAGTCATAAAGTGTGATGAAAAATAAGTCTTATGAAGGAGAAGCACGGAGTTCTTTGTTGTTCTATTAAGGGAGGTGAAGTGGGACATTGAGGTCAACAACTAGGTTGTAGGTGATGTGGAAGATAAATCGCAGAACCATGTAATAGGTTTATTGAAAGGCTTGGGATCTACATGGCCACATTAGGTGTCTGAAATAAACCCTTGCACGATAACTAATGCTTCCAAAAAAGCAACTCATACAACAGCCGCTCGAAAAACATCAGAGAGAACAGATATTTTATCTGTTGGTGGAAGTCTTCATGGATCTTTTGGCGTAGCGTCAAACTGTGCCCAGAAAGAATTGTGCTATGATGATATAGATGAATCGCAGGAACTGGAAACGCGCTAACTGAAGTCTCAAGCAGCCACGCAAAACGCGCGATGTTCATCGAAACCCCGATATCACTGCATCAACAAACAGATTTTAGTTGAAAAGGCAGTTGAGCCCTGAAAAAAATGTGAAAATATCATAAACGGCATTTGCGTCAAGCGTTTTACGCGTAATATGCGTATCACGCGTATTACCCATGATGCCGCTAGTCGTCGTGGTTTTCAGTTTGGAAGAACTACCAAACAAATACACCTATAGCCGCCGGCTTAACACCAACAGCCCAGCACAGACAAGAAAAACTATGTTTGCGAGGACTGATCAACAAACCACTCCTGTAAAAGCTCTATAAATGTGGTTGTTGAACTCCCTTTTTTCTAAAAACCCAGCAGAGCTGAAATACCTTGTTGTATAAAGAGCATTGCCACCTCATCCTGCTACATTACTCTAGTGACCTTAGCTGGTTTTGACAGTTTAATTGAACCTCAGGTGGTCTGAATTTCTATAGGATTTTGCAGCATGCCTAATAAGCATGACACACTTCCAACATGGGTACTTGTAGAAATAAAATACGGCCTCATCACATAAAAAAATTTCGCTGAAGTGCTTTTAACCCTCGCTCACCTTTCTAAAGTGTTTCACGAGGCAAATGAAGATTCAGAGTGAGACGAACATTTTGGCATAATACAGAAACCGTCGATTCAGAGAGAAGCTAGGTTCGTGATAATTTCAGCCAAAAGCAGTAAACTTTTATTGCATTCTTCTTTATAAGAAAACCAAGTAATGGTGAAAATGTAGAAAAAATCTAAAAAGTTTGTCAAGTTAAAAATGAACTCTTTTACGGCGCATATATTGTATAAGAGTAATAAATGCAATACTGATTGAAAAAAGAAAGTCTGATGTTTAGACAGGGTAGGTAAGCTTCAAGTAACAAAAAGTCACTGTCACAAGATAGAACCTTCTATCAAAATACGACAGTTACAAGAAGTTATCTTGGCTTCAGTGTCCACCCTCTGCTCAACTATATCTCGCCGAGCGTTAAAGCTATGAGCTATGATATCTTTGTCAGACCCTGGATGATTTAGATTATGATTCTCCAACATTGGGTAACATTACGTGTGCTATCTTCGTTCATTTTTACTGGAGAGCTAAACAACACTGTTATTGATAACTGCACTGTTGACAAATAATTATAAATTGCATATATTGCAGTTTTCTGAAATTGTAGCGAGACTAGTAACATAATACCTTACGAGAAAACACACGCACATTCTGGCATAGTGGGTGCGCGTAGACAAGCCGTAGCTGCAATTATAATTGATAATTAGAACACCTTGATAACTCAGAACACCTTTTCTGACTTTATAAACGAAACACGGCAGTCGAACAGGAATACAGGAATACAATGTGTGTTGAGCTACATTAACTTTTAGAAGGAGTTCAAAACGTGAGGCTACAGCAGCTGTATCTTTTACGTATCTTACTATCTTCAATAACTCCGAGGAATATGGGATGCACTGAAAACAGAAGCAACTACATAAACTAAATAAGCTAAATGACTTGTTGGCCGATAAGCTCTGAATTTATGGGACGTTATGCAATAGACCACAGAAGATGACAACTATATTGTCGCGAGAGGAAACGATAGGCAGAAACTCGAAGTGGAGGACTGTTTACTCAGCCACAGCTGCCATTCACTTCTTCGCTCTCGTCTTCTGCCACCAACACAGCGTGGCATTAGCCTCTCCCCCCCCCCCCCAAAAAAAAAGAAGAAGAAGCATCGCATGAATACCACGGCTCCGAAAAACAACGAAAGGTAGTCAGAAATGTCTGTGTCCTTAGAAAAGAAAAAGGACGAGATAAAAAATAAAGAAGCAAGAAAGTAATGCACAATTGTCTTGAAGGCTATTGCCACATCACAAAGTTCTTGACTTGCAGTCAACGCGAATAGTACGGCTTCATCCACCACAACCGAGGAGCGTGGTCTGCAAGAACGGTGTGACGTGTCTGCTGGGAAAACTTCGCAGTTCACTTCGCCGAAGCGATGAAGAACTCGGTAGGGTCCGAAGTACCAACATAACAATTTTTCTGAGCGTCCCCGTTGACGTATAGGAGTCCAAACCCAGACTAGGTCACCGGGTTCGTATATTACTGCTCTGTGGTGGGTGTTGTATCGGCGAGCATCTTGATTTTGCCGTGATAAAATGCGAAAGTACACCAGATGCCGGGCGTCTTCGGCACGATGAACAAATACATCTGCATCCGGGGTACTCGTGTCCGGCAGAGTTGGTTGCAGGATGGTGTCAAGCATTGTGGTGACGTCGCGGCCGTAAACCAGATAAAAAGGAGCAAAGCCGGTGGTTTCCTGCAAAGACGTATTGTAGGCAAATGTTATATACGGGAGGATTTCATCCCAATTCTTCTGATCCTTGGCGGCATACATCGAAAGCATATCTGCAATCGTTTTGTTGAGGCGTTTGGTTAACCCGTTCGTCTGCGGGTAGTAGACAGCTGCTGTTCGGTGCGTCGTGCCGCTCAGCAACATGATCTGTCGGAGCAACTGTGCCGTAAAAGCAGTACCACGATCTGTGATGACGACAGCGGGAGCACCGTGGCGGAGAACGATGTTCTTGATGAAAAAGTCAGCCACCTCGGAAGCAGTTGCTCGCTGGGCGGCTTGTGTTTCGCAGTATCTGGTAAAGTAGTCGGTGGCAACCACAATCCAGCGGTTACCAGCCGTAGACTTCGGAAATGGGCCAAGTAAATCCATCCCGACCTTTTCAAAAGGTGCGTGAGGGGGTCGCAAAGGCTGTTGCAGACGGGCTTGTTTTGTCGTTGGAGTTTTGCGGCGCTGACAGGCTATGCATGTCTTGACGTACTGCCGGACGGTTTTCGTAATTTTCCGCCAGTAGTATTTGTCTTTGATCCGCGCCAAAGTACGCGCGGAGCCAAGATGCCCTGACGCTGGCTCGTCATGACAAGCACGCAAAATATCATCGCGGAGAGCAGCAGGAACGATGAGGAGGTAAACAGTTTTCGTTGAATGAAAGTTGCGCTTGTAGAGGATGCCTTGGCGTAGACAGAAAGATGACAAATCACGCACGAATTGACGTGGGGGTTGTGGGCGACGTCCCTCAAAGTATTCGATCAGTGGTTGTAATTCTAAGTCTTCGCGTTGCTGCTCAGCCACGTTTAATTATGCGTGAATAGCAAGGCAGCTGAAGTCTTCATCTTTGTCTTCTTCAGTGATCTCGACGGGTGCGCGGGAAAGACAGTCAGCGTCGGTGTGTTTCTGACCAGACTAGTAAACCATCGTTATATCGAATTCTTGTAACCGAAGGCTCCATCTTGCGAGACGGCCCAAAGGATCTTTCAGATTCGCTAGCCAGCAGAGAGAGTGGTGGTCACTGAGGATTCGGAAGGGGCGTCCGTACAAGTAGGGCCTGAATTTCGTTATGGCTCATACAACCGCCAGACATTCTTTTTCAGTCGTCAAGTAGTTCTTCTCCGCAGATGACAACGTGCGGCTAGCGTAGGAGATGATGCGTTCCACTCCATCTTGATATTGCACGAGAATAGCTCCGAGGCCAAGGTTGCTCGTGTCAGTGCGGACTTCTGTGTCTGCTTCGGTGTCGAAGTGACCTACGATCGGTGGCGTTTCTAGGCGTTGTTGAAGGTCGCGGAAAGCGCCAGATTGTTTGGGGCCCCAGACGAAGGCGACGTGATCCTTGAAGAGTTGTTGTAGAGGGTCGGCGATTTTCGAAAAGTCGGCACGAAGCGGCGGTAATAAGCACAAAGTCCCAGAGAGCGGCGTACATCATGCTTTGTTTTCGGTATCGGGAACAAAGCAACTGCCATAGCCTTGTCAGGATCGGGGCGAACACCACTGCTGCTGACAATGTGGCCAAGGAATTTGAGTTCCTCATTTCCAACATAA